CATCTAGCCAATATACATGCAAATTCATCACTTTAAATTTAGCCAATTGGGTCAAAAAGCCCACTAAAATTGAAAGGGATTCTTCAAATAAATATGAATGGGTATTTTAGCTCTTAATTCTATCCTGTGCAAATAGCTTTGAATAGCCTGTGGCGATCTACGTAGGCAGGAGGAAACACATCTAAATAGAAAGTTATTCAAAATGTAGAGAGGGAGAAGCAGGAAGGACAAATCCAAACTTGGCTATATTTCAGAATACAAAACAAAGCCTGCCACGCACAGGAAGGGGGAAACATGAACACCAGGAAGCTACTGGCAGAACAAGAGTAAGAAAAGGGTTCGGCAATATAAATTTCAATCGGTCTATGCATTAAGCAAGACTCCAGGATAGTTCTGTTTAGGGTGATGTCGCTAGTAGGAGAAATAAAAGATCTTCATGGTTTAAATGAACCTCTGCCCAAACTTCTATGCAAGATTTTCCCTCGCCTAATGTCTGACTCAGGTGCATCACCCCCAGATTTATTGCTAAATTACCTAGCCCTGGGCACAGAACACAATGCTAGCACAACAGAATTAGGCTGTCACATGATCCTAGCCCGGCCAGCCCCCAACAGCAACAACTGCCAAAAAGCACATGCCTCCAAAACTAGGAGAAATCCCAACCTTTATAAGTTGCATCAAAAGAAACACAGCTCACCAACACTAGCGTCACCATCACTCCTTCCTACTGCTTTCTCAGTCATGTTTACTAACAAGAGAACAAAAGGACTTTTAAAAACCAAAATCAATGAAGGGCAGGAATGGGGACAAGGATTCAGTCAAAAATGGGGATACTAGACGCCTAATGGAGACAGTCTACTTTTTAAAAGGCCTTTGAAAGGAAAGATTCTCAGCAACACAGATACTTATTTACACTCAACAGTGGTTCCCTGTGATTGCACCAAGACTAAGAGCCTAGAATTTTTTTTTTAAGATTTTATTTTTCCTTTTTCTCCCCAAAGCCCCCCCAGTACATAGTTGTATGTTTTTAGTTGTGGGTCCTTCTAGTTGTGGCATGTGGGACACCGCTCAGCATGGCTTGATGAGCAGCGCCATGTCTGCGCCCAGGATCTGAAACAGCGAAACCCTGGGCCCCAGAAGCGGAGTGCACAAACTTAACTACTCAGCCACAGGGCCGGCCCTAAGAGCCTAGAATTCTGAATGCTCTCAGATCTTCTGGCTCTACCTGGGACTGTCAACCACTCTTTAGCCCATCTCCAACATGACAGATTGGTAAAGCCATCAATCTTTAAATATTCTATCTGCCTCGCTCAGATATGTTCTCTTTCTTGGGAGGACAACAAGCTAATATTTAATGCCAAACCCCAGTGGTTTTTCTTTTTTTTTTTTAATAGCATATCAAAAACTTAAAAGAACAGTCACATCTTTGCCTCCAAATACATGCATGTTTGAAAGCATGAACAACTCTAGGATTTACCATAATCTTCTCCCACCCTCTTTCACTCCTCCCTCCAAAAGAAAGCCAGTAGGCCCAAATATGTGGTTGCCAACTAAGAACCCTAAAAGGTTCTTACCAGGGGATACACTCAGACCCACAAAATCTAGGGGCTCTGCCCTAAAAACTGCTATCACTTTGTGATAAACACAAGAAGATCCTCCAAGTAGCCATCAAGACTGGCAGCAACAAGGCTGATCTAAATATACTTCTCCAGAGCACCTCTGGTGCTGGGGTATTACAATTTTTGGAGTTGGACATGATTAGGCAAAGAAACATTTGCCTTTCTGGCATAGGACAAAATAAAGCTTCCTCTCTACCTCACAAGACTAGAAAATTTCAGGTATATATCTGTACATCTGCTTCTCTAAGTGGGGAAAGTATTCTCCCTAATCAGCAATATATATTACAAGCAAACTTTCAGGTAGAGAAACGCAGTTAACTACAGCACCTAAACCCTGCCACTTGACTCACTTAATTTGCTTAAAACCATTTACAGAGAGGAGAGACGGGCTAGATTTTACTTCTCCTTTGGCTTGTCACGAACAACTAAAGCAGTGAAAATTGAAACAGATGATACAGATAGTACCTTCCAGAGGTTGTACTGCTACTTTAATTAAGTCAAAGGCATATGTATGCAGAATAAAGCTACTCTAAAATGAAACCAAGAAAAAGTTTAATTCAGAAAGAACATGGGTTTCTTTTTAGCCTTTCTGCCTAAAGAAAGATAAAGATCAACAAATGATACAAAATTCCATCAATGGGAACTGTGTACTCCACCAATTTTAAGACAAATACCATGTCTTCTTTGGTTCCACAGCCTGAACCTTTTCTCCTTTTTTAGGAAGATTAGCTCTGAGCTAAGATTTGCCGCCAATACCTCCTTGTGCTGAGGAAGACTAGCCCTGAGCTAACATCCGTGCCCATCTTCCTCCACTTTATATGTGGGACACCTGCCAAAACATGGCCTGACAAGCGGTGCGTAGGTCCGCCCCTGGGATCCGGACCTGTGAAACCTGGCCCACCGAAGCAAAACATGTGAACTTGGCACTGCACCACCGGGTCAGGCCCTCCACAGCCTGAACCTTTTGAAACTAAAGGAGGGCAAGTGAGCAAGATGGTTGGTGACCTAGAAGGAGCTGTGTTCTCTGGATACTGTGATACAGCAAGCATTACTGCCCACTTCTCCTGATATGTCAAAAAAATAATTACTCTTGATTGCATTGGTGCTTCTCTGGGCAATCTTCCTTGCCCACAAATCTGTTATAATAGTACCGGGATAATGTAATTTAAGCCTTTTACACTTGCTAGTACAGAAACCAGTAGCTAAGCAGACTAGAGAGCAGAAAGGAACCAAGAGTCTAGGGAAAGGAGACGATTCTCCTAAATTTTCACATACAACTCATTCCTAATCGTGGTTGCTCTAATCCAATTGACTTTAATGCTTGTCTCCACGTGGAACTAAAGTGGTTTCTTCAGGGAAGAATTTAATCCAGCTGCTCCTGCCTGGCAAAGGTTTCTTTATCAGAGGGTGGCTGACTTAAATAAGGGTATTTACAGTACCCCAAGGGCTTCTTTTCCTTTAAAAAAATTACAAGAGACCACCCTTATCAGACTCTTCTCCTTGGAAATTCTGGGAGTAAGTTCCTGTAGAACAGTAACTCTGAAACTAAGGTCACAGACCCTGTAAGAATCTGATTAAACTTTATCCACAGAAAAATGCACAAGCAACAAAATTCTACAAGCTAGTCAATGGATCCATGTTAAGAACTTCTAGCCTATATAGAAACAATGGAAAAGATCAAGGTGAGTGGGAGGGTGACATCCTTGAGGTCTAAAATGAACTTTTCCTCCCTTCCTTAACCAGCAAGCAGGAAAAAGGCAGCAGTACTAGTGCAGGCTCTTTCCTGAGAATGCGGGCTTCCACTCATGGGCAACTTCAGCTTGGGGACTTCTCTTTGGCCTGGTGAAGCTGTCTTAGAACTGCACTGCAGTCCAAGACTCTGCCTGTCGAATCTTTCCTTCTTCTCTCCTTTCAGAGGTATCAGACCTCCCCTGTGGTCTGAAGACTCTACTGGCCCTCAGAGTATTCCTGTTGTTGTCCTCTCTCTTCCTTTATACTTCCCAGGCATTTTCTCCAATAAAACTCTTATACTTCTAATCCCATCTTGGGGTCTGCTTCTAGGAATCAAACTATATACCTGCAGCTGCTGCCATTTCCACAGCACCTTTACACAGAGCTCTGAGGAAGGGGGCTTGGAGTCTTCCAGTCCTCACTCCAGTACCACACTCCAACCCAGAAGCTATACCCTTTAGGACAGTGACTTCTTAGACTTGCCCAATGGATTGAAGCCCCTGGAAGCCAAAGGTCAAGGATGTTCTGGTTTCACAGACATCTTGGGTAGTTCTGAGATTTCTGCCTTTAGGTCTGAGGCAAGACCCACTAAGGATAAGAGCCACTGGTATGGGAGAAAATGGCAGGAAAGCCAAACCAATAAGGTAAGATGTATAAAGGGCCCTACCTTTGTTAGGCCTCAAAATGACCCTGACTCGTGCTAGAAATATCTTTCACCTTTATAGAACAGTAAACGTGAAGCTGTAAATTCATAACCAAGTTCTGAAAAGTGATGACACTATTCAACAGGGAGAAGATAGAGTCAGGTCAAGTAAAAACAACCAAAGCAAAAATCGTATTTCAAAGTATGAGTGACCTTTTGTGTTCACTAGAGAGATTCCAACAGTTAGTATGAGACTCAAAGTCACTTGTTAAGTGGCCAGTTGGAGCTATTAAGAGTGCAAATGCTTCATTTGAGAGCCACAATGCCCCAATCCCAGCATCAGGTGAGGCTTTCAGTTGAAGGAGCAGGTGAGATTCTGTGGTAAACACAAGGGATCATGTCAGAATCCAGACATGCTGTATCACTTCTCCTAAATCATTTCTGATCCACTGTTACTGCTTAGGGCATGCAGTAGTAAACGACTGTATCAAACTACCCTTTTCTCCTGGATCAAATCAGCATTATTTTTCAATCAGCATTGTGATAAAATATTGTTATAAAATAGGACAGAGAAGGAGAAATCTTTTTAATTAGAGTTCCCCTGAAATTCTCAGAGAGCAAAATAACCAAATGCTTTGTTTTGCAAGCTTTTTTTTTGGCCCTTTATTCTTGGTTTACATGTCAAGCTCTTAATGACAAAGAAGCCAAACCCACTTAGCTAGTTTATCAACACATCTAAAGCAAATCATAGTCATACTTCTATTTTAACGAAGCATGACAACGAGGTGATTGAGTAGCTTTCTAAACTACCAGAGCAGCAGGCACTACCTTGCATAGGCTGGCGTTAGATCAGCACTTCATAAATCATGCAGGCTCCTGCCCATTTAGATGATCTCTCTATGCAGAATCGGCAGTCTAATGCAGGCTCTCCCAAGCATTAAAAATCATCACTCTGCTAACCCAACTCACTGTTCAGATGGGTCTTCTTGAATGCAGCCTTTATTACAACCCCACTGCTGCTTGCTACACTGAAGGAATACCACGTTTTTAAGTCAGGAGTTCTTCTTTCTCGTTTTATTGTAATCAGGGGGTCTTACAACAACCCTGATACTGTTACAAAGCACGGTGCTTTATAACAGTAAAGCTTCTGGAAAACCCAAACAAAAGACACGTCATCTGGTGACGTCAGCCTATATACAGTTCTGTGTGGTCGCAGCACATAAGCAAATCCATTCTTGTGCCGTTTCTCGGAAAAGCTTTTCAGTAAATGCACTCATGCTGCTCCAGGAGCTCTTCTCTGCAACAAGCCGCCCATCTGCCATCAACAAGTTAAGACAGAGAGAACTAACGGCTGCGGAAAGGAGAGACTGAAGCTTTGATTAACCAGCTCAGCAGTTAGAGGAGGATGAAATTAATAACTTATATTCAAAACTGATTTGAGGGATCAGAGTGGTCACAGAAAATGAAACCAATGCTCTCGAAAGGAATATCCTAAGGAAGAAAACAACTCACCCTGGTGGATTCAATTTTACTCAGAAAGCCTGGGACACAGAAAACAGGAAACTGGTCAAAGGCTCCTGCATGTTAGAGCCTTTCACAGACTCACTGCGTTGAGTCTAACAACCGCGACTGAATGCAGCCTCCAATGTGCTCAGAAGAATGGGTAAGTCCACGCATTTATGTGTCTTGTACAGTCAGCAGGGAATCATGCTTTTAAAATAAGCCACTGAATTCATATTTTATGAGGGAAATCATTGTTACATTTTTGGATTTTGAGGTTTAGGTAAAAGCATATATTGCTGATGACAGGACATGTTTTATCTTCTTTCTTAATGGTTTAAGTTTTGTTCTAGTCATACTAACAAGGTTAGTATTTCTGCAGTAAATGAAAAATAAGTTATATGCAGTGAAATCTTGTGCCATAATGTTACGTTGTTTCTTTTAATAGCCCATACGTTCTGCTGAAAAATATCCTATCTTCTTGTTTTTTTTAAATTATATTCTGCAGGCTTACATTTCAAGTGGCCATTAGGGGCCCCTATGCTGGCAGCAATATATGCAATGAGTATGGTTTTAAAAATGCTGCCTGCCCTGGGTATGGCGTGTCCACCCAAATGCCGCTGTGAGAAGCTGCTCTTCTACTGCGACTCTCAGGGCTTCCACTCAGTGCCGAACGCCACAGACCAGGGCTCTCTGGGCCTGTCCCTGAGGCACAATCGCATCACAGAGCTCGAAAGGGACCAATTTGCCAGCTTCAGTCAACTTACCTGGCTCCACTTAGACCACAATCAAATTTCAACAGTAAAAGAAGATGCTTTTCAAGGACTATATAAACTTAAAGAATTAATCTTAAGTTCCAACAAAATATTTTACTTGCCAAACACAACCTTTACCCAACTGATTAACCTGCAAAATTTGGACCTGTCTTTTAATCAGCTGTCCTCTCTGCACCCAGAACTCTTCTATGGCCTTCGGAAGCTGCAGACCTTGCATTTACGGTCCAACTCCCTGCGGACTATCCCAGTACGCCTGTTCTGGGACTGTCGTAGTCTGGAGTTTCTGGATTTGAGCACAAACCGTTTGCGAAGTTTGGCTCGCAATGGATTTGCGGGATTAATCAAACTGAGAGAGCTTCACCTAGAGCACAACCAGCTGACGAAGATTAATTTTGCTCATTTCCTACGGCTAAGCAGTCTGCACACGCTCTTCTTACAATGGAACAAAATTAGCAACTTGACATGTGGGATGGAGTGGACCTGGGGCACTTTAGAAAAGCTAGACCTGACTGGAAATGAAATCAAAGCCATCGACCTGACAGTGTTTGAAACAATGCCTAATCTTAAAATACTCCTCATGGATAACAACAAGTTAAACAGCCTTGATTCCAAGATCTTGAACTCCCTGAGATCCCTCACAACCGTTGGCCTCTCTGGCAATCTGTGGGAATGCAGCCCTCGAATATGTGCTTTGGCCTCCTGGCTGGGCAGTTTCCAAGGTCGGTGGGAGCATTCCATCCTATGCCACAGCCCTGACCACACCCAAGGAGAGGATATACTAGATGCAGTCCATGGATTTCAGCTCTGCTGGAATTTATCAACCACTGTCACGGCCATGACTACAACTTATAAAGATCCAACCACTGAATACACAAAAAGAATAAGCTCATCAAGTTACCATGTGGGAGACAAAGAAATCCCAACAACTGCAGGCATGGCAGTTACTACTGAGGAACACTTTCCCGAACCAGACAATGCCATCTTCACTCAGCGGGTAATTACAGGAACAATGGCTTTATTGTTTTCTTTCTTTTTTATTATTTTTATAGTGTTCATCTCCAGGAAATGCTGCCCTCCCACTTTAAGAAGAATTAGGCAGTGTTCAATGATTCAGAACCACAGGCAGCTCCGATCCCAAACACGACTCCATATGTCAAACATGTCAGACCAAGGACCATATAATGAATATGAACCCACCCATGAAGGACCCTTCATCATCATTAATGGTTATGGACAGTGCAAGTGTCAGCAGCTGCCATACAAAGAATGTGAAGTATAATATCTACTCGTCATCAAAAATTACACCAGATAAGTAACCTATTTTACATAGTAGGGGCTAAATACATATCTAATTTTTACCAATGGTGACATTAAGCCTAATTTTCCAAACCAAGTCGAGACTTAAGTTTTTGAAGTGTTGAAGTATTTTTAATTTTTTTTAATGAAACCATATTTTAAGTGTTAAATGAAGCAATGCTCATGTTAATTTGCACTCTTGTTGGAAAGTCTAAAAATGCTTACTTCAAAATAAGACATTTCATGTATGTAATTATATACTAATCGTGTGTAAACATTTACACTAAGGTCTCCATATGCTATTTTTTCCTACTGAAAACAGTTTGAAAAGAAGCTACTGAGCAGAAAAAGATACGGATCAATACTTGTTTGATCATTGCTCTCCATCCCAAGTACCACAACTGGCTTGCTGCTTAAAAGGAGACTTAGCAAAGTTCTCTTGTATGATAATTTGGTATTTACCCAAATCTACAATTTACTGCCAGTGTGGGAAGTAGAATTTCATGTATGCTGAAGACTGGTAAATATTAAATGCTCTTCTTCCACAGTTTTTGCCTGGATTAGTAAATATCATCCAAGTCCACATCATGAAATCAGAACCATTTATGTAATTCTAATAAGCTGAGTGACTCTAATATATTCAAACAATGAATCCAAATGATTGTGAAAAGGTCTCACTACAATGAAATCAATACTAATAATTACACTGACTTTACATCATGTTATCTCTAGTTTGATTTATAATGGACATGATTTTTGTGGCATTTAGACAATTATTTTAAACTAGTATTAAATTACCACTTTACTAATTAGTTTACTAAATCCTACATTTACATTTATATGTGAAAGAAATTTAGAAATTATTTTGGAGAACAAGAGAGATTCAGTCAACTTAACAATCCTATGACCTGCTCTCTCTAGTTTGAAAGCACACACACACACCACACACACACTCTCTCCCCCCCCACCCTCACTCTTCCTCTCTCTTTACTGTCATGATCAAAGATGCCTTGACAAGAGGTTTAAACCTCTTTCTTCTGCCTTTTCCTGATCTTCAAAGCTCAAAAAGCCAAATTAAAAATAATTGGCTAGCCTGTTGCTAGGATATACTATAAAGGAACCACAAAAAAAAAATCACTTTCTAAATATTATGTGTTCAATTTTTACCTTTTAATAAAGATACATATTCACACTATAAGAGCAGTTCCTTATAAGTAAAGGGAACAACATATTACTGAGGCAAACCTTCTCGTGGTAGAACACTCTACATGTCTATGCAGCCACGCAGTGGTAACTTGAAGGTGGTGTGGAGGTGAGGGGATGCAAGGGAAATGCAGCATTTTGAAATCTGACTCTCAAAGAAACAGGTTAGCTGAAGTTAAAAGGCAGCCAAGAGTGAGGCAAACTGGTAACTGTACACAATCTGCATCAAACAGGGCAAGGCCCTGGGACCCGCAGCTGAAAAGGGGACTGTGGGAGTTCCCTGGTGTTAATATAAACATTCCATAATTAAAAAATGATAATCATGCCACATTTTTCATGCAGAAAAGAGCCACAAGTATTTTGTTTCTTCAATTATGATTTCTACGGAGAAACTATGACATATTTGGGATTTAGATGCAAGTTACCTATTCACACAAAATTTTTCCATTAACAAGGTTCCATGTACGTAGGAGCAAAAACCAGGAATTTAGATTACTGACTTGATTTTAAAAGGAGCATTTTTACAACTGACATTTACTGTATGTGAAAAAAGGCATAAATCCTTAGAGAAAACCACTACCATAAAAAAAAGTTATCTTTCCTTAATATGACCATTAACATGATATCCTTCATTCAAGGCATATTTTCTTCCCAGGATTGAACTGAAAAGATGTTAAGACTACAGTTTAACCCATGAGATTCAATCGTAATTTTTTCTTCTTTAATACTAAGAGAGGGGTGTCCACCTACATTTCAAAGAAAATGTGTCTCAGCAGAAAGCAGACAGGATCAGAAATTATGGTAAAAATGTCCTCTCTACATTTTTTAAGGTGGGTGGGTTAGTTTGGCAAAGTCTCAGCCCAGTCGAGTTCAGCTGATCTTGAGTGGTGAGCTTTTCATCTCGTGTTAAAACAGACCCTGGGCCTGCCTGGTACAGAAACTGATTTTACAGCATGGAGTGCAGCTCACTGCTTCCCTACAGAAGGGATGATCAGAAGCCCCCAACACAAATCAGAGCTCCACAAGCTAATCTTTACCCATTTATCAGGGTAACCATGGCCATTTGTCAGGGGACAGCTTTGTCACAACACAACTGTGTCCTAAATACACAAGATTCCTCTAGCCCTGAAGGATAAAAGAGGAGCATTTTCCAACATTTCAACCACAACGAAAATTAACTGAAACTGTGAGTAGAAGGTCGAGAAATATTGGCCGGGAATCCCCACATTAACCCTAAAGATTACAGTTAGTAAAATGGACCATCAATTGGTAAAATCCTTAATATACGTAGAAAAGTAAATTGGAAAAACAAGTCATTTAGTAATTTGGGGGAACAGCATAGCCAAGGCCACCAAGGCATACTTTTCGGTTGAAAAATAACTGATGTTTTTGGCCTCCATTTTTTTGGTAATGCTCTCCGAGAAAAACGAGTAACAGTGCCAAATAGCATTTTCCTTTTTAATTTAAAGTGTAAACTTCCCTTTTCAAGTGGAAAGGGAAGGCAGGCTTCTACTGAATTTTAGCCTATTTGTGTTTCAGTAGCAGCACAGGTTTGAAGATGAGGCCATTAGTCATATGTGCTCTCTTTACCAACTGGCTAGGGTGGAAGAGCATCACAGCTACACTGCAGATCCTGGTAGCACAATGGTAGGGCTTTTGTTTTTCAGAGTAGTTTTATCCTCTTCAAACTGCCCCCCCACCCTTTTTCTTCCATTTTCAAGGTGAGAGGAAAACGACCATTTAATCAAGAACAAAAAAATACATTAAATTTCTCTGAAAAAAGGAAAGCTAAAGAACGCTACAATACTGTACCCACCTAGAAACCAAGAGCTAGTTTGGAATTGTTTATATTCATTTCCGTAGCTTGCCAGGCATTTCAGTCACCTTTCTGAAATGAAAGCCGGCTGATAAATTTGCAAATCCAACACAACTCAGAGAATACCCACTGCCAACATCAAATAGCAAAGATACTAGTTTTTTAAGCCAAAAATCTGCACTAACACATGTAATTTCTTAATGTGCCTAAGTTAATTTCTGTACCAATTCAATGAATGGAATTGATTGAACTTCCCAACTCCACTAATTATTAAAATCCATCTGCTTATTCTAATGCTAGTCACCAAGAGCTAGACCCCATCTTTCTAATAAAAATGAGCCCTATGTAGCACTAGGTCTGAATCCTAACATTCAAAACAGGCATGTCGTTTTCTTAAGGCATACTTCCCACACAGCCATCAGTGAAAAAAGCTATAAATGTCCTGTTCTCTCTCTAAAGTGTCGATATCAATATGAAATTTTTAATGAATATTTTTAGAAGCTGAGTTACATGATCATTTTCCTAATAGAGCAATACAGTGACAAACCTATCTTAAAAGTCTGTTTGGGGACATGCTTTTCCTATCTTATGGTTAAAGTGCTTCAACCAGAAAAAGATAAAGATAAGGGTGATAAGGCTATCCATAGATAATGAAATATTTCTATTCCTAACCTAGGGCAAACCCATAGTACTTGAATAATTTAAGGCCAAAAAACAAATAGAAAATGACTGTTTAAGCTTTCATACTGCTATTGTAAACATCTGGAAACATCTGCTACTCCTTCAACTAACCTATTCTTCCTTGGTCATTTAAAAAAAAGTCTGATCTATGGAACGTTTGGTGAACCTTCCTATCAACACTGAGACTGGAAACTAAAAGTACAGTCCCAACACATTGTGTCAATCACCTTAAGAGCCATTTTTTTGGGGGGGTGGGAGGTGGGCAAGTGGGTTGGGGGTGGGAAGAAAATACTATTATACTGGGGGTCTGGGGGGGTGGTAACAAAGTGCAGTGTACAGGAAAGTTTTGTTATTAAAATTGTGTATACTGTAAAAAGTGAATGTCTTTTTTTTTTTAGCTTTTCCCTGGTAACCTATCAATTTTGACATGTGAAACTTGAAAAACCATTTGTGACAGATATAGAAACCTTAAATGAACAGTTGTTTTGTACCATGTTCTCTACAATGCCAAACGTGCCAGTTGAAACAAGGGCAGCTAATCATCACCTGTCTTCATTCAGAGACAGGCAAAACTAGGCTAAAAAGAAAGTAGAGGTAAAGTGCAGGGGCTGGCTAAAAAGGCACCATGCCAATTAACAGCAACCATGCAATAAGAAGCTGCTCTGTCACAAGCCTTAGCAAGCAGATAAGCAGCTGTCCATGGGGCTCACAGGGCCTGGGGTTGGCTGCTGTCCCTTCACCCTCCCTGACAGCAGACTGCCACCACAGCCTGGGGAGCTTCAAAAAGGCACTCGATTTCCTATACCCAGCAAACAGCAACTTGGCCTCTACCTCAAAGGTCCACTGGGGTAAATCTTCACTCCTGGGAGGGAGGGTCCACAGGTGCTGACCATGCTGAAATCTCTAGGATCCCTACATGACCTACTCTACTCCAGATGCCAGTAAGTACGGATAGGGGGAAAGGAAGGGAAAATTTTTAAATAGTGTCCCTCACTTGGCATAAACATCCCCAGGACAGGATGCTAAGCCTGGGCAGCAGTGGGGGCAGAAACTGCCCTGGCCTCGAGCAATTGACTGCCAGGAGTCTGCCATACTCGCCAGGATGCACTTACTGCTTGCCCACAGCAGTGCAGCAGGACCAGAAAGGTAGGAAGAAACAAGGCTACCTCTTTCCCCTACACCCAAGAACGGGGGAATCAGAGAGGCTTAGAGAGCTCTCACACCAGGAATCTCAGTAGTAACTAGGGCAGAGGCAGGAGCACAACGCAAAATTTTACTGTCAAACTCACCCAGTGTGCACTAGAGGGCATAGGTGATGGCTGGTTTCAAATTGCATAAAGGAACGAATTCCCATACTTTATGGAGTTAAAAGCAGAGCTTATTAACATAATTCTCATATATTTTAATCTTGAAAATCCCATGTAAAGCTACATCTGATTTCTTTATCAGTTATTTTAATTAGTTTTGCCGCCTGTATGCCACAGCATTCTCAGGTTCCCACTCAAATTTATAATAGATTTCTTCAAGGTTTGTTTAAAGAGATTTTTTTCTTTCTTTAAATATATCTAACCAGCTGGGTACTCAAGTCTCCCTCAGAAAGACAAAATGTACTACAAATTGTCTTTTACAAAGAGAGAAGGCAAAAAGAGGTGAAAATCACAGCTATTCCAAACATGTCTCCTTAGCATGAGTTCCTCCTCA